ATAGTATTACTTGTTATAGTGCTTGATATATATAGAATAGCATTCTGCATGTCTGCTATGAGGAAAACAAAAGATATTCTGATGTTAAACAAAATTTAGAAATTATTAGTAGCTAAAATGAACTAGGATTTTTAAAATATTAAATGTCCATTACATCAATATATATATATATATATATATATATATATATATATATATATATATATATATATATATATACAATCATGGAAAGAAATTATTAGACCACCCTTTTTTCTTCAGTTTCTTGTTCCAGAGGAGGTCTAATAATGTTTTCTATAATTGGATCTGGATCTATCAAGAAAGGCCTGGGAGGCGGATCTAGAGCTTAAACTCTGGATTGTCCGTATCTCTGAGGACGACTTCATAGCTGGTTGCAAATATTTAATCCAGAAAAGTGAGCAAACAGAGGTGGATGGAATCCCCAGAATTTGCACTCAGGGAGAAAAACTCTTTTAACGTGTAGTTTTAACATATTTTGTCCGTTTCAAGACTTTAAATGAACAACAGTCGATCCAGTAGTTTGACACTATATTTTTAAAAGTTTAATCTGTTTACCTATATGCAAATGTTCACCATAGATCATAAAAAAGACCACATATCTTTTTTTTCTTCTTTTATTTTATTTGTTTTACAAAGGCTTACTTTCTGTAATTTGCTCATTTTATGCGGCGTTAATTCAAAATAATAATAATTCAATAAATTTCCTTTATTGTCCCACAATGGGGAAATCCTGGTGTTTAAATCAGCAAAAAGACTGTAGAAAAAAATTGTCACACAAATGTGAACCTTCGAGAAAGCAGCAGTCTGTCACTCAAGGAGCTCTCCAGTTCTGCAGCTTCATGCATGGGGTGGGAAACATTATCTAACAGAGATGTTAATATAGTTAGGATCCTTTTGTTTCCCACCTCCTGCACTGAGTCCAGAGAGTATCCAACCACACAGCTAGCCTTCCTGATCAGCTTATCCAGACGCTTTCTCTCAGCTACAATTAAGCCAGTGCTCCAACAGACAGCTCCATAGAAGAAGGCTGATGCCACACAAAGTCATAGACGGTCTTTTGGAGCGTCCCCTGCACTCCAAAAGACCTCAGTCTCCTCAGCAGGAAGACTCTGCTCTGACCTTTTTTTATACAGAGCCTCAGAGTTGTGAGTCCAGTCCAGATTGTTATCCAGATGAACACCTAGGTACTTATAAGAGTCCACTATCTCAATGTCCATCCTCCTGCATTGTAACCAGTCTCAGTGGGTTTGATCTGCTGCTGCAAAGGTCCACCACTAGCTCCTTGGTTTTTCCTGCATTAATCAGGAGGTGGTTCTGCTGGCACCAGATCACCAACTTCTGAGTCGTCCCCACCTGTGATGAGGCCAACTGTGGCAGGATCATCAGAGAACTTTTGAAGGTGGCAGTATGGTGGGTTAATGGAGAAGTCTGCAGTGTAAAGGGTGAAGAGGAACGGTGCCATCACTGTTCCCTGTGGGACCCCGTACTGCAGACAAACCTATCTGAGACCCAGCCCTTTGACAGTGAGGCAGTCTAGAATCCACTGGGACATGTGCTGGTCCAGTACTGACAGCCCCAGCTTGTCCCTTGGGAGTTCTGGCCGGATGGTGTTGAAAGCATCGTAGAAATCAAAGAACATGGTCCTCACAGTGCTTCCAGGTTTCTTTAGGTGAGTCAGAGCTTGGTACAGGAGGAAGATGATGGCGTCATCTGCACCAGTCCCAAGATGGTAGGCAAACTCCAGTGGATCTAATGAAGTTATCACCACGGGGCGTAGATGGTGTAATACCAACCATTCAAGGGTCTTCATCAGGTATGAAGTCAGCGCTACCGGCTTGTAGCTGCTGAGGTCCTATGGATGCTTTGTCTTTGTGCACTGGTACCACACAAGACGTCTTCCACAGCTGTGGTTCTTCTCCTAGCCTGAGGCTTAAGTTGAACATGCAGCACAGGATGGCACAAAGTTCATCTGCAAAACATCTCAGAAGCCTGGAGCTGATGCCATCTGGACCCACAGCCCCTCACACCTTGATCTTTTGCAGTTCATTCCTCACCTTTTTAGGTCCGAACAAGATGGCGGGGGAGGGGATGGGCTGTGTGATGGAATTCTATGGAGTGGGGGGTTTGCATGATGGTTTGTAGTTGGGAGGTGTGAAGTAGTCAGTCGTGGAAGAAGGTTACAGCAGGGGGATCTGGGCTGGGGGAGGAGTGGATGGCTGGTGAAACCTGTTGAAAAACTGAAATAATTTTAACCATCCCTGCTAATGTTTATTAATGAAACTTTTGCTTTAATTTTCTATCATCTATACATGTTTTATTCCTTTATTTGTTGTTGTGTCTCAGTTTTTTCTCACCGTTCAGAGATGGATTTCTTCCCTCCTCGCCTGCAGGGCAGCTGCAGCAACAGTTTGCAAGCAACCAGGAAGTGGTTGTTCTGTAAGTTATTATTTTTTTTCCTATTCTTCATTATTGTAATGTCAGATGTGAAGCAAGAAGATGAAATGTAGTGAGTTTTGTCAGTTCAGAAGTCTTACCAGATGGAAACGTGTTCATCTATCAATGTGGCTTACGCCAGGTTAAAGCAGTTCAATTCAATTCAGTTTATCTATATAGCGCTAATTCACAACACGTCATCTCAAGGCAGTTTACAATTCAACCAGATCATACAGCTGAATTAATTTAAAGTTTCCTATCTAAGGAAAACCAGTTGATTGTACTGACTCATTTTTTTTTTTTTTTATTGTTGTTACGCTGTATATTAACGCATTTGATGTTTATAATCAAATGCGTTAATATACATTTGCCAAATGCCCAGTTTGGGTATCCGCAGGTTTGAAGAGCATCTTTGATGTGTTTCTGTTCTTTGGGCTTCCCTTCTGTTTTAGTAGGGACTTCCCATCCAAAACAAGGCTTTGTTTTGGTCCACTCTATAAAGCCTGGAACTCATAGCTATTTCTGACATTTTGAATTGAAAAAGCTTCCTGGATGGTAAGCAAAACGTCTTGAAACTTGGAAACAAAGTCCAGTGGACTGGGTTTTTTTTTTTTTTTACTTTTTTGGAATGACTTTGACCTGGATGACTGAGAATCTTCACCAGCACATTAGATTGATATTGAGGCCCAGTCCACGCGAAGTCAAAACGAACACAAAACGCTAATATTTTCCAGAAGGTTTGTCGTAAAGACGGAGACGTAAAATAAATGTGATCGTCCACACGAAT